CCAATCGCTGTGTTTTACACGTAAACACATAAATGGCTAAGGTTGTACATTTACTACGTAACCAAGTGATGTTATAACAATTTGTCCCAGTTTTTGTGTGCGCATATTATATTTATATACAATACGTCGCATTCATGAAAGTGAAAGGTATATCAGAAAGGGTAGAAATAAAAAAAAATACGAAGCGATGTACGAGAGATGATATGACAACTATAGAAATACTATTTGTAAAGAAACGTTAGACTGTTGCCTGGTGATAATTTTGCATATCAACATATTTCAACAGAATTAGTCGATATATTTATATAAATGTTTTAACCCAAACAACTGTGGATAAACAGTATATTTATCCAAAGAGCATATTGTTGACTAGGGATTAAATCGTATATTTCCTGATGTTGATGCATGTTTTATTTGAAATTAGTTTTATTTACTTGCCACCTATCAATATCAACGTCAAATGAATAAATTAGGCTAAATGTTTACATCTCCAGAACTCAAGAGACAAGGACAACAGTTTATATTAATGTAATATAAGATGTTATCAAAATTCAAATTGATATTGAGAGAATAATAAACGTTCATGACCAGTAATTTAAACCATCTTACTGTGAAATTTCTGATTACGATATCACCTAATGATTATCTGTCTGACTATTAAAGTTAATGCATATTTATCTCACTTTTTTAGGTGAAAGTCGCGATATTCACCATAGTTGTTTGGTTAATTTTGACAAAAAGGAGTTGGAAGAAGTCTTATTAGTATGACCCGCATTTTGAAATTCGTGACAAAATAAATTCAAAGTTCTTCCGAAAAATTATGGTATGTGCAAGGACGTATTTGTCAGTACACATTTGTGTAAGGGATCTCGCAATGGAGGCGAACAGTTGGAAACTGTCATGGGACAGAGCGGAGAAATGGAATATTTTCATTTCGATAAAGGGTTTATGAATTTGTGTTGTCCAGACTAAAGGAAAGTATTGCTGTAGTCCCTCTGGAAATGACGAGAGAAGTTCTAAGTGAGACATCGGTTATTTTTGAAAGCGTTGTGATGGTCGAACGGCGAGAGTATGTAAATTTGTTTTACACAATATGTGAACTAATCAACATGTTTATTGCATTTGAAATGTTTCATTTGAATGAAAGAACAACTTCTGTGTTTCTTATATACGCTCACCCCGAGGGCGCTCTTGATGCGTTGTGGTATGATGTATTCAAACACGTGTATCGATTTGGAAAACTGAAAAACAAAACTAATACTATTTTCACTGAAACTCTGATGGTTTTAAACATGGGATGGTTTTCGCCGATAAGAATCCAGCCTGAAAATATTTTATATCTTGACAAATTTCAGCAAAGGATTCTGAGTTCGTATGGACTTGGCGAGTGTGTCAGCGTTCCCAATTGTAAGAAATTGCGAATCAGATTTCTCGCCAGACATGACCGTATATATCATCCTCGTAGTAAAGGTATTGGGCGCAGAACATCGAATGAACAGGAATTGATTGAAGTGTTAGAGGACGTGTTTCCATACGAAGACATTAAGGCGCTCAATTTTCATAGCATACCATTCTCAAAACAACTGTACGAAATCAGACATACTGATATATTAATCAGTATGCACGGTGCTGCATTGACACACGTGCTGTTTATGCCTCCTTATTCTGCACTGCTTGAAATAAGAATTCCGGGATTTTCTCATGGCGCTTTCCAGACGCTGGCGGCAGAGGCTAGGGTATATCACAAAGCAACATATATAAACGTGTCATCGGATGATATTGAACTGCCTGTTGTACAAATTGTCAAAAATTTAAAGACAATCATCGATAAAATCTGCTCACGTGTAACATGGGAGTGATTCCCATTCTAAAATTTAAAATTTATTATGAGATTTAACTACAAAAAAGTGAGACATTAATAAAAAATGTTTTATGAGTGTTATAAACATAATATTTACAAGCACGAATTTAATAAGTTGTGCAGCTTTTAATTATTTGATGCAGCTTGTCTTGTGAATATAGGTTATATGATTTAACCATCTTATATAATTAACATTAGATATGATTCGTTATGAAATAAAAAGCTTTCACACCCTTTATCAATATATCATGGAATTATTCAATGTCAGAATAAATAACTGTAGAATAACATATAATCAACAATTACACACAATATTTAATTAAAAATAATCATAATACAGTGTATAATAAATTATTATATTGCGACTGTTAACATTATATTCATACTTCAATATGTGTATCTTGTCATATTCCACTGATTTCAAATACCTGGCGGGGACCAATGCAATAACTAGATGTTGTATAACATGAACATATCGAAAATTGTTACATGAATAATGATATTGCTCAAGAGAGAAGCTATATTTGCCAAAACTCAGCGTTGTGAATATACTTGTCAAGGGATTCAGCAATTGGAATTTAATGACATTTTACATTTATACAAAATTGAAGCCGATTTATATTTGCTTCAAGTGCTCACTTAAAAATAAGAAAATGTGTTTCATATTTCCAAAATTTCAATATCTCACACTTAACACTTAAAATGATATAATGAAAAAGAAAATCAGAACCGCTGGGCAGGAGTCATATAAGTTATAAGTGTTTGTGTTAGATGCTTGTGACACTGTTCTCATACTTCGTCACATCTCAAATCCCACAATTATTGTCATCCTAATATTCAAACAATCTAGGCATATTGTTATCGCGAACCCATCACCAGAAATGAGTGGACAAGATGGCCGACTTCCGCTCTGGCCAGTGTTCCCCAGTCAAATAAACATCACAGAATGTGCCATAGAGAATGCATTGCATAAACATATATTAAAAACAAAATTTTACTTTTGTTTTGTAATGCGTCAGACAAACGTAATTTGCATACCAATCGCCATTGACGACCACAATGATATTTACAAGATTAGTCTGTTCACATATTTTTGTATTAAATATATAACGGGTGGCTGTCGTCAGTGTCACCATAAATGTGTACCTAAATGTATCTTGTCCTCTGGTAACTAACACCATTTATTACATGGTTTCATATGATCAGCTAAAAATACAAGTGGGCACAGAATAAAGGAAACAAAAGATTACCTCACTTTCTATTGTTTCCAACCCCAAGCTGTGAACTACTTAACATAACAATAGACGCTTAGTTAGGCTAAACAATGGACCTTTAAAGTCTATGACATCATCCGTTGTCTTGAATAATTTTGCATGTAATTATAGTCACTGCAATGGAATAGACAGGAAATCCCTACTTGACCAGATTCTATTGTCCATTTCTGGCAATGCTTAGGTCAAAGAGTGGTGGTTTGATTATTCGTTTGACAATTTCTATACGAAAATAACCTCAAACCTACGAGAAACTATTGGTCACAATTATACGTTTTGATGATGAACGATGAACTAACACTTGTCTTTTATTCAATTTGTTTCATTCTAACATTACAAACATAGCACATGTTGCAATATGGTTAGTAATAATGCTCAATAATTTCAGCAATCATATATACTATAAACAAGTCATAGAAAATGACACAGTCCCCGTAAAATTTTTGAAAGTTCTCTTTGAGCTCGTCATAGTAAAGCGGAGGAGTTGTCACGAGCGTGTCCTTGAAACTTGAGTTCCAAGTGGCGTATACAACAGATTGTTTATTTACATCAAAACAGGTGTTCCGTGTAGTAGTAATATGACCAAAAATAAAAACAGCCGTTATTCGGCCATCTTTGATCTGATTATGAAACACTGATATGTATGATGTATGTGCCAAATACGAATGAAAATGGTACATAAATTGTGGAAATATAGTAGTAATGCCAAAAAGTCAGATGGCTGTCAATCGGCCATTCTTGACCAGATTTTGAAACAAATGCATTCTAACATGTATAAAGTACATGCATATGCCAAATTTGAATGAAAACTGACAGAGCACGTCCAAGATACCGCATAAAAAAAACCAAGATGCCTGCCAGTCGACCATCTTTGATCCAATTGCGAAATAAATCGTCATGGACATGTATTCTAACATGTATGATCTATGTACCAAGTTTAAATGACAAGTGACAAAGCATGTCCAAAATACAACATTTTCAAAAAACAAGGTGGCTGCCAGTCATCCATTTTGAATGTAATCGCTAAACCACTGCATGTGCATATGTCCCACATAATGTACTAGACACATGCAAAGAATGAACGGAATCGGCCCAAGGGACGCACGGACACACAGAGGCACGATGCACGAGCGGAGACCAAACTATAAGTCCCCGTTTTCAGACTTGGTCCGAACGGGGACTAAAAATGGCAATGCGTTTTCTTATATATCCTTTATCAAGACATATTAGTTAAGTTATTGGTCATGTTAAAATATGCTAATTGAATACATAGTACGTCGTTTGAGGTGTGGGAAATCTTGCTAAAAAACAGAACATGAATATGATTAGCATGTATACATGTTACATACTATGTTTTAGGGTGACACAGTAACCTTCGTTCTACAAAAACTATATTACAATACCCTTCGTTCTATAAAATTGTGTCCCTATCTTTTTGTCAGAATGTTTTCACATATTACATGAATAATTCCCGTTGAATCATATTCATGGGCCATACGCACCATCTTCAGTTCCGGAATCATCAGAATCTCTTTTGGCAGGACCTTGCAAGTGTACAATAATACGTATTATTGGTGACATAACTGTAGTCAAATTTCACACATATACATTCTAGCAAAAACATAATAGAATAGGACATACAACATACACGAAATGTAAAGGACAGTGGTGTTTGCTATTCCAAAGGTTGTGTACTTAATCGGAATCAACTCACACTGAAATGCTAATCTGAGCATTATATTTTGCCGATAGTGTTATATGTCACATTTATACGAAGCGAGTAGAACTAACTGAAATTGTGACCGACGGATGCACGGATACACGCACGTATGGAGACCAGGAGAATGAGACTTCGTCCGAACGGGGATTAATAAAATAGACAAGACTTGAAATGTGAGGAGATGAATATCCCACTCAACTGGCTCTGTGGACCACAGAATTCAACAAGCCAAGCATGACTCGATATCTTCATCATGTCTTGCTGTCGAACTATGTGTGCTAGGGAGTCAATTGTGAGACAATGCTAGACTCCCTATCTCACATAATTTGAAAGCAAGTTTTGACGATGTTATCAAATCATGCTTGGCTTGATATAAGGTGAGACATATGAGAGCTCCATCTTTCCATATGGACTCCCTAGCACACAGAATTTGACAGTGAGACTTGATGGTGATAACACTTACACGTAGAGATACCAGACACAACCCAAAGCAACACACATTAGTTCATTACAGATAGTCCAACTTTATTCTTTCAAACAGTCAGCTGAGATAACCCCTCGCTGTAGAGTTCTCTTGCACTTCTCCTTCTCTTACAAATAGGTTAAACGTCTTAAAAGTCAAGTCTATGAGGCTTGGCAGACTAAACAAGCGATCAGCCAATCGCTGCACGATCACATGATTACCAGGGATGTGTTTCATGGTTAAAGCCTTGCAATGTTGCTACTACTAAATACACTAAGTAAATAATTTATTCATCTGTTCATAATCTCTACTTCTACACTAAACATGCAAGTTATTGATCTAAACAAGTGGAACGATGTGTGAACAGAATGTGCGAACGTGAAAACGCTATCATAAAAAGTCATCAACAAGTTTCAAAATAACCATTTTTTGTTATTTTCTCTTAATATGACGGAAATAATATAGGCTGTGGTTTATTTTTTTAATTTCAGTTACACAAATTCAAAATAACAAGTTTTTCATTTTTTTGAATACAATTGAAATAATAAAGACTGTGGTTTATTTTTTTAATTCTAGTAGGTTAAAGCATTTCAAAATAACCGGTATTTCAATTTCTGGATAAGATTTTGCGATGTCCCACTATTCTTAGGCTTGCATGTTCGTCAAGTGAGTCCCCAGTCTTGTTGCATAGCATCCAAGATACAGTTTACAATTCATGCAATGAGATGTGATATTTTCAAACACCTTTTCCATATTGCATGATGTAGTTCTATGAATCTGAAACATAAATAAATAAATATGAATAAATAATCACTAAAACTATTATTTCAATAAAATTAAAAACTTTAAACTAAATTATGTCCTTGTATATCTTTTAAAAATTAACCTTTACATCGAAGTATCATACTCTACATTTGTACACAAGTCTGACAAGTTTATGTATCATGGATTTTCAGGTGTAAAAATAATCATAAGCTTGAACAATTTTAGATGATATTTACCTCCAAGGTGTACATATTAGACTTGAACTAAAATGATTTGTAATATTTGCTTGTAATTTCCATAATTTTCAATATCAGAGATTATATTTACCCTATAGTCTCCTTGTATAGTGATACTTCTTCACATTTGTCACCAGATCTGTTCTACCTATTTTCACTAACAGTTCTTCCAACAATTTGGTGTTAACAAGTGTGATTTTACCAAGCTCTTTTAAACATACAAATATTTCATATGCATTTTTCTTTGTCTCTAATGTCCCTTTTTGTATATGAACATCACGACAATATTGCTGCAATAATGTCAATTCATCTGTAAAAGGTGAAAGGTCAAAGTGAAAAATTATTCATATCAACACACACACTAGAAAGTTTATAACAAAAAATGTTCAGTAAATTAATTAACGTCTATTCCCTCATAAGTATGACCCTGTATTAATCAGACCATACAATACAATCAAAGTGTTTGACATGCATGACATCTTGTTGAAAATAATATAAAATAACAATGCGAGATTAATCTACACCTTTAGTTATTTCAAAATTAAATGTTTCGATAATGTCAACCTTAGAAAAGATCAGAAAATTGCGTAATTATAATCAAGTATGATTGTTACACTACCTTTTCCTATTTTTTTATGAAATGTTACAAGCATGTCATTGAACCTTTCATTAGTAACTGTTATATCCTTAGATGAGGTAATAGCTGTATAATATAAATGGAGTAAATGTTAGTTATAAATTAAGTGTTATAAGCATGTCATTGAACCTCTATTTAGTAACTTGTGTATCCTTGGATGAGGTGATAGCTGCATAATATAAATGAAGTGAATGTTAGTTATATATTACGTGTTACAAGCAAGGCATTGAACCTCTATTTAGTAACTGTTGTATTCTTGGATGAGGTGGTACCTGTATGATATAAATGAAGTAGATGTCAGTTATAAATCAAGTGTACAAGCATGTCATTGAACCTCTCTTTAGTAACTGTTGTATATTTGGATGAGGAGGTAGCTGTATAATATAAATGAAGTATTTGTTAGTTATAAATCATTGACAAGTGATACAAGCATGTCATTAAACCTCTTTTTAGTAACTGTTGTATCCTTGGATGATATAGTGGCTGTTTAATATAAATTAAGTAGATGTTAGTTACAAATTAAGTGTGACAAGCATGTCATTGAACCTCTATTTAATAACTGTTATATCCTGGGATGAGGTGATAGCTGTATAATATAAAGAAAGTAAATGTTAGTTATAAATTAAGTGTTATACGCATGTCATTGAACCTCTATTTAATAACTGTTGTATAATATAAATGAAGTAGATGTTAGTTATAAATTTAGTGTGACAAGCATGTCATTGGACCTCTATTTAGTAACTGTTGTATCTTGGGATGAGGTGATAGCTGTATAATATAAAGGAAGTAAATGTTAGTTATAAATTAAGTGTTATACGCATGTCATTGAACCTCTATTTAGTAACTGTTGTATAATATAAATGAAGTAGATGTTAATTATAAATTAAGTCTTATAATCATGTCATTGAACCTCTATTTAGTAACTGTTGTATCCTGGGATGAGGTGCTAGATGTGTAATATAAATGAAGTAGATATTAGTTATAAATTAAGTGTGACACGCATGTCAATGAACCTCTCTTTAGTAACTGATGTATCCTTGGATAAGGTGTTAGCTGTATAATATACATGAAGTAGATGTTAATTATAAATTAAGTGTTATAATCATGTCATTGAACCTCTATTTAGTAACTGTTGTATCCTGGGATGAGGTGCTAGATGTGTAATATAAATGAAGTAGATATTAGTTATAAATTAAGTGTGACATGCATGTCAATGAACCTCTCTTTAGTAACTGATGTATCCTTGGATAAGGTGTTAGCTGTATAATATACATGAAGTAGATGTTAATTATAAATTAAGTCTTATAAGCATGTCATTGAACCTCTATTTAGTAACTGTTGTATCCGAGGATGAGGTGCTAGCTGTATAATATAAATGAAGTAGATGTTAATAATAAATTAAGTGTGACAAGCATGTCATTGAACCTCTATTTAGTAACTGTTGTATCATGGGATGAGGTGCTAGATGTATAATATAAATGAAGTAGATGTTAGTTATAAATTAAGTGTGACAGGCATGTCATTGGACCTCTCTTTCGTAACTGATGTATCCTTGGATGAGGTGCTACCTGTATTATATAAATGAAGTAGATATTAATTATAAATTAAGTGCTATAAGCATGTCATTGAACCTCTATTTAGTAACTGTTGTATCCTGGGGTGAGGTGCTAGCTGTATAATATAAATGAAGTAGATGTTATTTATAAATTAAGTGTGACAAGCATGTCATTGAACCTCTCTTTATTAACTGTTGTATGATTGTAGGTGTAGAATTTGAAGAGGTGTTTCTTTAGGGGTTTCTGATTTTCTCACCAATATCTCAGTAGATGTAATAACACACAACTTACCTCCATTTCCCCTTGAACGCTTGGTTGATATTTCTTCAGCTGTACTTGCTTTCCTCTTCCGTTCAGCTGTACTTACTCTCCTCTTTCTTTTAGCTCTACTTGGTTTCCTCTTGCTTTCGGATGTACTCGCTTTCCTCTTGCTTTTGGCTGTGCTTGCTTTCTTATTCTTTTCAGCTGTACTTGATTTCCTCTTCCTTTCAGATGTATTTGCTTTCCTCTCCCTTTTGGTTGTACTGGCTTTCCTCTTCCTTTCAGCTGTACTGGCTTTCATCTGCCTTTCAGATACACTTGCTTTCGTCTTTCTTTCAGCTGTACTTGCTTTCCGCTTCCTTTCAGCTGTACTTGCTTTCCGCTTCCTTTCACCTGTACTTGCTTTCCTCTTGCGTTCAGCTTTACTTGCTTTCCTCTTTCTTTCTGCTGTACTTGCTTTCCTCTTCTTTTCAGGTATACTTGATTTCGTCTTCCTTTCAGCTGTACTTTGCTTTCCATCAACTTTATGTGTAGATAAATAGAAAAGTTTAACTACCTGCTGCATTGCAGAGATCCAATCAAGATACACATATGCACTACTAACCGAACTTTGGGCCAATGAATTGCCGATTTATACACAGTATGTTGGCATAATTCATATTTCTGTGTACAAGAATGTTAATGTGGATAATTGCCAAATTATACATAATATGCTTCAAGTTTAGTGTCATAAATATGTACTTCTAGTATTTATAGACAGTATAGCTACTAATATCAGATTCTATTTATGAACCTAATACAGTAGTAGTATACAAGTTTAGTGTCATAAATATGTACCTCCAGTATTTATAGACAGTATATCTACTAATATCAGATTATATTCTTAAACCTAATACAGTAGTAGTATACAAGTTTAGTGTCATAAATATGTACCTCAGGTATTTATAGACAGTATATCTACTAATATGAGATTATATTCTTAAACCTAATACAGTAGTAGTATACAAGTTTAGTGTCATAAATATGTACATCCAGTATTTATAGACAGTATAGCTACTAATATCAGATTCTATTCTTAAACCTAATACAGTAGTAGTATACAAGTTTAGTGTCATAAATATGTACCTCCAG